ATTAATAATGCCCTTATGAAATTAACCATAAGGTTTTTAAAGGGGTGCCAAAATAATCCACATTTCTCTGATAGGATGTTAACATCTTTGTATCATGATGTAAAGTTTCTTGTGTCGATTGAGCTATAATTCACATAATGAAAAAATTCCAGTGGTGTTAAGGATGTTCACAATCTTGTGCAACCATTATTTGGTTCCAGACCTTGTTCATCACCCTCAGAGGAAACTCTGTACCCGTTAAAGAGTCACTCGCTGTTTCTCCTTTCTCCCAGCCCCTGGCAGCCGCTACTCTGCGTACATGTCTGTTGATTTGCCTATTCCGAGTACTTCATATAAATGGAATGATACTGTATATTGCCTTGTGTGTTTGGTTTGTTTCCCTTCGCATGTTTTCAGGGCTTATCTGTGTTGTGGCACATATCATACTCATTACTTTTTAATTTGTAAAACATTTATTTATTTATTTATTTTAGAATGAGAGAGAGAGCGTGAGAGCGCATGGGGAGGAGCAGGGGTTTGGGAGAGGAGCAAGCAGACTCTGCTGAACTCATTCTCCTGACCCTGAGATCCTGACCTGAGCTGAAACCTAGAGTCAGATACTGAGCCCCCCAGGCGCCCCACTTCATTCCTTTTTAAGGCAGAATAATACCCTATTGTATGGATATACACATTTTATTTATGCACCAGTTAATGGTTGGTTGAGTTTTTTCCCCTTTTTGGCTATTGTGCCTGATGCTACTATGGTCATTTCTGAACGTTTTTGTGTGGACATGTTTTCAGTTCTTCCAGGTATTTACCTAGGGTGGAATTACTGGGTCACATGGGAACTCTATGTTTAACTTTTTGAGGAAACACCAGACTTTTTCCAAAGCAGCCACATCATGTTTTGTAGTTTTTAATGCTGAGATACTTGGAAGAAATGAGAGAAAAGTTTATTAAAATGTTAACCTGAGAGGCGACAGGGTGGCTCCGTGGGTTAAGGCCTCTGCCTTCGGCTCAGGTCATGATCCTGAGGTCCTGGGATCGAGCCCCACATCGGGCTCTCTGCTCCACAGGGACTGTGCTTCCTCCCCTCTCTCTGCCTGCCTCTCTGCCTACTTGTGATCTCTGTCTGTCAAATAAATAAATAAAATCTTAAAACAACAACAACAGCAACAAAAAAAAACCCCCAAAAATGTCAACCTGAGACTATTAGTACTCATGACAGCCCTTCTGACAAGCTAGCTGGAAGTCTCAATTTGCCTATTTACTTTTCTGATGAAAATATTAAGATATAAACCCACACCATAGAAATAGTGTCATATTTTTTATGCCCTCTTGTTCCTCTACCCACCCACTTCTAAAAGTTTGGAATATGATTGGAGTTGATGATGTTTACTTTCATGTAAGTATCGGTCTCTAAAAGTGATATATTGAGGTTCCTGCTCTGCTTTTCCTTAGTGGGTTTCATGTTTTATTACATAGGTTACTAATGTAGAGACATCAAACTTTGCTCTTTTTTGTTTTTTTTTTTTAAGATTTTATTTATTTATTTGACAGAGAGAGATCACAAGTAAGCAGAGCAGCAGGCAGAGAGAGGGAGGAAGCAGGCTCCCCGCTGAGCAGAGAGCCCGATGTGGGGCTTGATCCCAGGACCCTGAGATCATGACCTGAGCTGAAGGCAAAGGTTTAACCCACTGGGCCACCCAGGTGCCCCGAACATTATTCTTTTAACAGAAAACATTCTTGAAACAAAATTCAACATAGATTTAATTACTTATGATTAAATTTTCTTGGATATACTATTATTTTTCAAAATACCACAAAAAGACTTCACCCAGAAATCTTTATGTCAAGGATATTGTGTTAATGTAGTAGGTAGTTCAGAAATGCTTTTGCCTTCTCGGCTGATGACATTATTACCTGTGTCCAGACTTCCATTTTTGTCAGTAGTCCTTATCAACTATTCAATCTCCTACATTTGTTCTAGCAAATATTTATATAGCCTTCCTACATTTACATAAAATGAAATCATTATAAAGAAATAAAGTAAGTTGGTTTTATTGAGGGTATAGAATTTTAGAGCAGAAAGGGTGCTCAAAAGAAATAACATTTATGGAATAATTTCTGATGCTAAATTGGAACATAAGTACTTTTGATGCCATATCTCATTTAAAGTGACAATCTATATGAATTTTGTGCTTGGTAGAAGAAATGAGATGATCAGTCATTCCAAAAAGCTTGAAGTATTGAAGTGAGCTCTCTCTCTCTCTTTAGGATAAATTAGTCTTTATTCCTGTGTGGGTACATTATAGAGATGATTTGTTTTCTTAGAGTAATGAAAAATTAACGGAGTTTGTTTTTAGGTAAATTTCTCTCAGGTTTTACACTATGAAAATCAATATCATTGTGGACACTGAATACGTTGTTTACTAAGTTCTGTAATTTTAGCCCATACTTTTCAGTTATTTTTGCAATTATTTTGGTGCCTAAAATAATTTATGTTATCATGTTGGGTAACTTTATATCTGTTTTGTTTCTGAAATATCTAAGAACAGGTAGCTGCATCTGAGCTAGAGAAATACTAGGTTTTAATCAGATCTTTTTGTCTGAATACTGACTCTTAAAAAGTTTTTTTTTTTGGGGGGGTGGGACATGGTATTAAGTTCGCAGTTGATAAGCTTCTATACTAACTAGAAGTAGAGCAGAAACTATACAAATCAGAAATCTGTCTCAAAAAATTAAAAATAGAACTACATATGATCCAGCAATTCCACTTTCGGGTATATATCTGATGGGAATGAAATCATTATCTTAAAGAGTTATCCATATCCCCATATTCACTGCAGCATTATCTACAATGAAGACACAGAAACAACCTGAGTGTCCCTCAGTTGATGAATGGATAAATAAAATGTGATACACACACATACACTGGAATAGTCAGTAATAAAAAAGAAGGAAATATTATTACCTACAAAAATAAAAAATGGATGGGACCTGAAGGCATTATGCTAAGTGAAAGACAAATACTGTATGATCTCACTTATATGTGGAATCTAAAAAAAAAACAAAAAAACCCGAAGTCCCAGAAATAGAGAACCAATCCGTGGTTGACAGAGCAGGAGTGTGGGGGATAGGGGAAAGGTGTGAAGGTGGTCAAAAGGTACAACTTTCCAGTTATAACGTAAATTAATTCCAGGGATGTAACATACAGCATGGTGACTGTAGTTAAAAATACTGTATTTCGGAGGGACTTGGGTGGCTCAGGACGTTGGACATCAGACTCTTGGTTTCAGCTCAGGTGCTGGTCTCAGGATTGTGAGATTGAGCCCTGCGCTCTGCATGCATGGCGTCTGCTTAAGTTTCTCCCTCTGCCTCTGCCTCCTCTCTTCCCCCAGCATGCCCACTCTCTCAAATAAATTAGTTAATTAAAAAATACTGTATTGTGTATTTGGAAGTTGCTGTGAGAGTTGATCTTAAATGTTCTCATCATAAGAAAATTTGTAACTGTATGGTGATGTTAATTAGACTTACTGTGATCGTTTTGCAATATATGCATAAATCATTATGCAATACATTTTAGTACAGTGTTCTATGTCAATTAAATCTCACTAAAGCCATAAGGAAAAATTCTTTCCAGATACAATATTGATGACCACTATTTACATTTAGTTACTGGTTGTTTTTTTTTTTTTGTTTTTTTTTTAAGATTGTATTTGTTTATTTGACAGAGAGAGATCACAAGTAGGCAGAGAGGCAGGCAGAGAGAGAGGAGGAAGCAGGCTCCCCAGCAGAGAGCCTGATGCAGAGCTCAATCCCAGGACCCCGGATCATGACCTGAGCCGAAGGCAGAGGCCCTAACCCACTGAGCCACCCAGGTGCCCTTGTTTTGTTTTTTTAAAGATTTTATTTATTTACTTATTTGACAGAGAGAGAGAGAGAGAGATCACAGGTAGGCAGACAGGCAGGAAGAGAGGGGGAAGCAGGCTCCCCACTGAGCAGAGAGCCCGATGCGGGGCTCAATCCCAGGACCCTGAGACCATGACCTGAGCCGAAGGCAGAGGCTTAGCCCACTGAGCCACCCAGGTGCCCCATAGTTACTGGTTTTTAAAGGGAAAGAAGTCAGGGAAATTTTGGAGGTCAAGTTGTATATCATGAAAATCCAGTTTAGTGATATATACATACTTAGCAATAGTGTAAGTGATCTCCGACCAAAACCTGATTTCTAAGGAAGAATAGCTTTCAAGTCTGATGGAGTATCTGCTGACACCATATGATTCTTGGTGTTCAAACTGGTCTTGTTGCCAAGAAAAAGGAAGCTGTTCCTTCAGTTGGAAATTGTAATGCATTTCTCCATAGAAAGAATATGGTCCAAATAGTACTTTTAATTCTAGTTATTCATTCATTAAGTAAATATTTTAAGCTCCTGAGAGAAAGCATGTACTGTGTTACATACCATTAATGTTTACAAGGATACAAAGTTGAATGAAACCAGGTGTGACATAGTGTCTAATCTCACATAAGAACTATTTTTTGGTTGCTGTGGGAGAACAAAAGAGGTGGTTGAAAGTCATTTAACATGGCTACATTTCTTCCTGTCTTTTTCTGTGGTTTTCAGGTACGTATGGAGTAAATTGGTTTTTGGTGATTGCCCGGGGCCTCAACTTTATTTCATAAGTTTGTTTCTTTGGAAAAATGTTTCCCAAGCTTTATAACAAAGTATCACTGAACTTGGAGAAGACAGCCTGTGCATAAGTTGGAGACTTTGCCTATTTTGAAATGGAAAAATTCTTGTCTCAGTATTACTGACTTAATGTACAGTTGGTACAAAGTTTTCAGTTCTATTGCTGACTTGCTTGGTGAGTGAATGATTGATCACAATGAACTAGAACATGTAAGATAAAACACGGTGACCTGAGTAGTTTTTCTAGTACAGCCAATTCTTTGGTGTGATAAGTATTTTTATTAACAAATTTTCTGTTTCTCTTGGATAGTCAACGTCTCTCCCTCTTTTTCAGGAGACTTATGTGAAGGGATTGGAAGAAGCCTTGCTGTTTGAGTAGATAAGGTAAGCAGTCAAGTAAACGCTTCAGTATTATGACAATTGAATTGGTTGATTTGATATCAAAAAGGAATTTTAGTTATTTAAAAAAGTGAATTATTAACTGTGTTAATAATATTTATATCTACCATCACTGTAAGCACTTCATGTTCATTATCTGATTGAAGCCTACCAATAGTCCTGTGAGAGATACTATTACACCCGCTTTATAAAGTAGGGAGCTGAAGCCCAGAAACCTACGATTTCTGCTCTTGACGCTATGCGTTTGTCAAGAGTTGTGACAGCGTGGAAGTAATGTTACTTCCTTCTTGCTTTTTTTTCCTCCCTCAAACTCATCCGTTCTTGTTATTTTTTCCTTTGTGGGACAATTCTGTGGGAGTTCTTTGCTTCCAGAGGTCAGATTTAGTTGTTGACGTGGGTTCTGCACTCTTTCCCCATCTTCCATGTTCTTTTATTTATACTTTTTTCAAGGTTATACAGTTAAGCAAGTTAAGTAGTTTGTCAGGGATTTTCAAACAGGGATTCTCAGTCCCCAGCCTCATTCTTCCTCCTCAGAGGTGACTGTTCTTGACTCTCCTTGCTTTTCGGGATTTATCTGTGGTTTCTCAAGTAGTATATCGAATTGATGTTACCTGAGTTTTCAGTTCAGGACATAAGTTGTTTATATGATTTTCTGTGTCCTTATCACCAACTGAACTCAGGAGTCTCTATCAGTTGCCCAATGTTCCTGCTTTCTGTCACATCGTTTTTTTCTGTTACTATCATCATCTTGAAGAAGTCCCTCCCAGGGCAAAGTGCTGCCCTACAGAGTAGCTTCTGTTTTCCCATAGTGCCCAGCTCTCATTCTAGGGGCTCTCTTTTCCTTTGGGTTGGATCTTCTATTTCTTCTCTCCTGTGTTGTCTTCTTTCTTGGTTCACTCCCTCATTTTGCTTCTCTAGAGCCTCTCCTGTATGGATACTAAATTATCTTGATTGGGCCTCTGATTTCCTTATTTTTTTTTTTTCTTATTATCATCTGTTTTAGTCTTTATTCTTTCTGATAAAATTCCCTAAGTTTAATGTCCAAAGCCTATCTCTTTAAAAAAAAAAAAAAAAACATTTTATTTTTTTGAGAGAGCAAGAAAGTGTACAAGCTGGGGGAGCTCAGAGGGAGAGGGAGAAGCAGGCTTCCTGCGGAGAAGGGAACCCAATGCCGGCTCATCCCAGGACCCTGGGACCATGACCTGAGCTGAAGGCAGATGTTTAACTGACTGAGCTACCCGACCACCCCAGGATTAGGCTTTTTCTTGAAGAACTTTCAACCAACCTGCCCTGTTTGATGTTCCCTTAACCCCTGTTTCCAGAGGTACCATCTGTTACCAATTCCTGTGCCTTTTGAGAATTCTGTGGACTAAGTCAGGTTGGTTTTTGGCTTTCCAGCTTCCTGGTTTAAGATTCAGCTTTCCTGGATCTGTTACTATTTACCATTGTTCCATCTGCTTTCCAGCCTTCAGACTTTTGTTTATGCCTTAAAAATACCTTATTAGCATTTTAGGAAAGAGTGAAATTAAATATGTATGTTTAATCTTTCCATCTTCCCAGAAACTACTGCTAGATTTTTTTCATTTGCTTAAGCATTTATTTATCTATTCATTTTTTTTTTTATTGTGGCAAAATAGGTATAAAGTTTTTAACCATTTTAATGTGTGCAGGTCAGTAGCAATAAGGTACCTCCATGATGCTGTGTACACATCACCACTGGCTGGTTCCAGAACTTTTTCATCAACCCTAAAAGGAGCCCTATACCCATTAAGCAGTCGTTCCCTACTCCTCCCTCTCTTTCCCAGCCCTGGCAACCACGAATCTGCTTTCTGTCTCTGTGGATTTGCCAGATCTGGTGAGACTCTTTTATTTTTTTATGTTTAAAGATTTTATTTATTTATTTGACAGAGAGAGAGATCACAAGTAGGCAGAGAAGCAGGCAGAGGGAGGGGGAAGCAGGCTCCCCAATGAGCAGAGAGCCCGATGCCCCTGGTAAGACTCTTTTAGACAGGGTAATCAGGCAAGGCTTCTTTGGAGAGAGAGGATATTTGAAAGGAAACCTTAATGCCCCGGAGGTGTGAGTATGAGGGGCATGGTAAACCATCAGAAGCATTGGGGAATGAATCCTGCCACTTCTTTGGATGTACAAAGTTACAAGGATTTGTTATGGTCACCCTGAAAACCAACAGAAGCCAAGTAAGGATCATAGTTTTAAAAACCCACCAGTTAGAGAAGATATAAGGAAACCCAAGTGAACCAAACTCCAGAAATTAATGAAAGCTTCACAGTGGAGAGGAGACCCATGGCTGTTCAGAACAGCCCAAGGAAGAGGAACCTGCCCCAGATGGGGGAGAGGAGAAACCTGCCACACTTTGGGCTGGCCTGTTGTGGCCCCATGCAGGTGGGCTGGTGCGACGGTCTAGAACCCTGAGGAGCCACAGTTGCTCCTCCACCAAAGAGCAAGTCCACCTCCAGCCCTCACCCACAGGTCTTCACAGAATACTCAGGGATGATGAGCCACACACCTGGGCCGAGGAAGTCGAGCTGACCAAGACCTTACCTGAGGCACACGGAACTCTCCCCAAGTGCCCAGCAACCACCCTCAGCAAGCAGAGGACTGAGCAGGGGTGAAGGAGTAGACCTGGAGAGCTGAGAGACACTCACCAGGAGTGCCCTAGGTTTTCAGTTATGGAAGCCTGAAGCCAGGGAGAGAGCTGGAGATGACCTCCCCCCTCCCCTTCCCCACACTCTGCAACTCTATGCTTTCAGTTTCGGAGCACTGAACACAGGGCAGGACAGGTAAGAGAAACCCTCTAATTCACTCCAGGCCTTCCCACAATGTAGGAAGCTGCCCTCTCGCAGGAAGGCTGGGGAGGAACAGGCTGAGAAGAGGTCACCTGGGCTGCAGAAAGCAAGGCAGGGGACCGGAAAGCAAAGAGAATCCCTAGCAAATGAAAAACCTGGCAGTCATGCTTAAAGCAGAGAGAGCTCCCAGTTGCTTTTGTTTTTAAAAATCAACTTATTTTTTGGAGTGGTTTTAGTTTTTTAATGATATATTTATTTATTTGAGAGAGAGAGAATGTGAGTGAGCTCGAGGGGATGGGGAGCCAAGAGCAGATGCTTAAAGGACTGAGCCACCCAGGCACCCCCATTTTCTTAAACAGTATGGACTCATGGATATTTATTTTAGACTTGAGGTTATGGTCCAATTACTACTTTATATATTTGGTTGAAATTGTTCCACCTTTGACCACTGGGAGCTCTTTCAGTTGTCTCTTTGACATTACCCTGTCAACGTTTGTGTGTGCGTGTATGTGTGTGTGTGTGTGTGTGTGTGTGTGTGTGTGTGTGTGTGTGTTTCTTACTTCCGGCACTATGTGATACTCCAGGTTTATGTGTATATTTCCTGCCACAGTCCTTCAGTCAGCTCTTTCTCCCAGGAGCCCTCGTTGCTTTTATTCGAGAATGGGGAAACCAAGATCTAGGTGTTAGATGTGCTTGTTGCTACTGGGGTGTTGTGCTTGTAGGCCCTCTCAGCTGACAGAGCCAGGAAATATATGTGGAGGTACTAATTTGTATATTTACACATATCTATAAATATTTCTATATATACCCATCTCCATCTATATTAGGCTAAATGTGAGTTCATACTGACATGTCCAAAAAATCCATTGACACTTAGATCATTCTAAATTCCTCCCCTTGTTTATCTGTTACTCTTATTCTAGTGAGAAACGTGGCTCACCCCATCTGCCATCTGTTTACTTAACTGTCACAGTGTACACATAAAGCACTCCCACGGTTTGGACAGCCCATGGCTTAGTTGTGAAGCACAGGCGGGTCTCTGGAATCCTACCTGGGCTTGGATCCCAGACCCTGCTCTAGCAAAAGTCCCGAGTCCCACCCTTTAAATATTTGAAGCCAGTGAGAGACTACATCAAGCTGAAGCTGCATCAAAGCCCAGCCCGAGATTAATGACAGATGAGATTGACTCACACCCCATTCCAGTGGCCTGACAGAGGGTCATGTCTCTTTCTAGAAGGGAAATATTACTTACTTCAGTGATGAATGTATTTTTGTACAGAATATCTGGGTTATAATAAAAAATTAGAAGACATAAGAAAAAGCAGGAAAATGTGACCAAATATCAGGAGAGGAAATAGCCAGGAGAGAGAGACCCAGAGGTAATCCATGTGGTGGAATTATCAGACAGACACATAAAGATAACTAAGGAGAAAAGAATGCTAGAGGATCTAATGGTAAAGGTGGGCAACATGTACGAGCAGATGGGGATTTTTAGCAGAGTCAAGGAAGCTCTACCAAGGAACGAAATGGAAATTCTAGAAATGAAACTGTAATGTTAGAAGTGAAGATTGGGCTTACGCATGGGCTTAACAGCTTCTTCCCATGTCAGAAGATAGGATCAGTGAATATGGAGCCCTGTCAATGGCACATTCCAATGTAACTAAGGAGAGAGCAATGTAACTAAGGGGAGAGGGAGGAAAGAACTCCTCCACCTGTGGGATAATGTCGGTCTGATGTATATTTACTTGGGGATTTTGAAAGAGGAGAGAAGTGGCAGAAGACATTCTTGAGGAGACCATGGTCAAGAATTTCTAAAACTGACGAAAGACCTCAGTTCACAGAATCGAGAGCTCCGCAAGCCCCATGTAGGTTAAATACAAACAAAAAGAAACCAATGAATCCACAACAACAAAAATCCCAGACCTACACACATCATAATCAAACTGCTAAACATTGAAGAGTAGATCTCACAAGCCAGTGAGTAAAAGACACAGTAACTACATGGGAATAACAGTATGAATTATGGCTAAACACTCAACAGAAAAAAACTAGAGGCTTCAAGACAATAGAGTGACATCCACAAAAGTGCTGAAGGAAACGGAACCAAACCAAACACCCTGTTGGCCTAGAAATCTGTCTTGAGAAGGAAGTCTACAAAAACAAAGGTAAAACAAAGGTAT